TATATATATTATTGTATATATATAATATATATATATTATTGTATATATATATATATATATATATATATATTCAGTTACATAATCAAATATACAATGTCTATATGCATACTACTTTACTGCGACACTTTTACTATGCGGTTGTGGATGCGTGTGTGTACAGGCTCAATGGCTATGTCTACATGTTTACAGCTTCTTTACTACTACACGTGTACCACTGGAGTATGTGGGTGTAGATGGATTCCCCTCGGAATACACCCATATCTGTGCAGGTGGATGTGTGACTGTGGCACTATCTATGGCTACTCATCTATCGCCAAAAACGGCCAAGATCTGCTCATCAAGCACCTTGCCATGTACGTTACGTACATGTGAGTTATACTAATAAGTATTGGTAACCATTCAAGTACTAGCAACCATTCAAGTAACCCCTATAAAACCCTAAACGCTAAACCCTATATCCCTACACAGCCGAGCCCAGAGACCGTCAGAATCTGTTGGCCACCGGCAGTGCAGTTGTCAGTGCGGCGGCGTGTCTGACTGAGATGACCAAGAGCACTAAGCTGTTGGCTGCGCTTGTGGATGAGGAGGATGAACGCGACGATCTCTTGCTGGTATATTTTTAAGTGTGTGTATGTGTGTGTGTGCGTGTGTGTGGGTGGGTGTGTGTGTGTGTGTGTGTGTATAAGCGTGTTGAGTTGTTTATGTTTACGTTTACGTGTTTGCAGTTAGTATGTATGTGTAGGTGCTTGTAGAACATGTGTGCGTGGCTGTATGTAGGTAAAATCGCAAATGGACGTAGAACGTAGACATGACTGCCTTGACAAAGAACCAAGATCACTCCCTTTTACTTACCATCTATCTACCATCTTACCCTCGTTTCCGTCTCTCAATGTTCTGGCGGCGGTGTTTAGTGCGGCCGTAATCTTGCGGATGCCACGTCTAAGCTGTTCCAGGCTGTCAGCCCTGACTCAGAAATGGAGCGCAAGGACCTTATCCTCACTGCCAATGCCGTGGGTAAGTATTGTCGTAAATTATTCTCGCAATGTCGTAAATGTGTGGTAAATTGCTCTGTTACATAGAGATCTCGTTCCCAGATTTGCACACACGGTTGAAAAGCCATACCTGTTGTCAGCTAATGTGCACCTGTTGTAGTTTTCTTTTTTATGTCTATGGATCGGTGTATGGTTTTAGAGTTTAGGGTTTATAGATGTCCTGGTACAACTCTTGTGCACTTGGTATATACATTCACCACACATTGATATGCGACATTTCGGTACACATCACACCACTCCACACGTACATATATTCTACAAGTCAACATGCGTTCCTGTGCATTGTAACCATAGCAACACCACTTTTATATACTAACACTACGGTTCCATACGTTTCTCTACCACACAACAGGCTCCAATGTACAGGATCTGCTGCGCCTGGTGCCGGGTGAGTTGGATGTGGACGAAAAGGTGCGTGATGATCTGTGCGAATTGGCACGAGACATTGCAAAGCTGTCGGCTACACTCATGAACTCTGCCAAGGCCGTCGCCAACAAAGCTAATGATCCAGGTATCCAAGTGTGGTATATAATCTATATTATATATATATATATTAAACTTTTTTTCTCGGCTGAACAGGTATGTGTAGACAATGCAACCGATACTCAACCCCTGAATGTATCGCTTCGCAAGATCATGTTTCTTCTCACATGCACGAGTACGTATAGACATGATAACAACCGTCTGCATTATTCCGACATATCTCGCGTCAGTTGCACAGCTTCGCATTTAAGGTCAACAAGAGTGCCCAGACCACCCATACCCAACACTCTAACCGGTAGTCTTAATCCGTCACCAGTCAAAACAACCCCCGCCTATCTACCCCTCGTCTGACCCGTATACTTATACCGTCACATTCCTATTTACCTACCTACCTACCTACCTACTTCTCGCTCACAGCCTCCCAGTCCAAGGTGATAGAGAGTGCCAAGGCTACGGCTATCAACGCCTCACAACTCAACGCAGCCACGCGTGTGCTAGCACCCACCATCAACCACATGCAGTGCCAAGACGCCCTGGCTCAGGCAGCACGCAAACTGTTGGAGGCTGTGAATGGTAAGAGAAGCATGTGCATATATATGTGCGTGAGTGTGTGAGTGTGTGAGCGTATCTACATTTATATATGTATGCGTATATGTATTATGTATTCAGGTATATTCGTTTGTGTACATGTGAGAGTGGTATAGTGTCATCTTAAGTGGGGAGAATTGCATCATTCAGAGCATCGATCGGTGGTAGTGACTATATATAGTGTTCTTTGTAGACAACAATGGACCCATCAATGTCTTACCTTTTAGGGTTTTAGGGGTTAAACCCTAAACCCTATTGGCCAGGGTTCTATTGAGTATAGTTTTTCCTGTTGCACGTAGTGTGCAAACTGTCTATCTACACGTTTGCTGTCACACTCTCCTCCAGTTACATACATCTGAATATATAACAAAAACTGGTTTGTCCTAGCTTATACAAACAATCCATAGACCCTGAAACCCTAATACTCTAAACCTTCTTAAACACTAGTCTAAAGACTCAACCTCTAGTTCTATAGGCAACGCACCAACCGCTAAGTCCCAAACCAAACGCAGTATCTTTAAAACTACACCAACCCCACAATCCAAGCCCTACATCTCAAAACACTACATCTCTAAATCCCTACAGGTCTCAACGCCAGCTGTCGCGACGCGACATCAGACGAGAAACTGGTGGATGAAGTAGACGAGAATGCACTCAAGGTCAAACAAGGCATTGCTGCACTGGTCAAACGCGTTAAAAACGCGGGAGAGGCAGTGGAGAAGGAGACGACGTACGACGACAAGGCCCGCGCTATCAACGCTCGCGTGGAACATCTGGATGTGCACGATTCGGAGGAGGTGTGTGCTTGGGGAAGATTGATGGAACTTTTGGACTGGGGTATAAGATGTGTGTGTAGGGACTATGGATAAGTAGGTAGATACGTTGGTGTAAGCGTGTATACTCTCGCGCATATGTATATGTATATATATATATATAATATAATAATATGTATGTATGTATGTATGTATGTACGTATGTACTTTTGCATTTGTATTTGATGTTTATGTTTGTATTTATATCTATATCTATATTCATACTTGTGTTTATATTATATTTATATTCATAAAAATAATATGATGGCTGACTCAAAGTTTCAGAATTCATTCACTAATGTCATAATCTCTTACACATTCGTCTATAGGTAGCGGCATTGGTGATTGACATCGGAGATATGATCAACATCATCAATCTGGATGCAGACAACGAACCCGAGAACAGAAGTCGGCTATATGATCTGGTAGGTAAACTATAGCAAGCATTCTTGTTTTGAATTAAGTGATAGAGAATCTAGTCTAGAAGTATATATATATATATATATACATATAATACAGCGTCATTTAATTGGGCTTGTTGTTCCATATGTACCACTCTTTCTGACAGTACACCTCTCCCACCTCCTTGTTCACAGGCCAAAGGTCTGCGTGATGCGTGCGAAGGTCTCGATGGCAACCCACAGGGACTGGAACAGCTCAAAGAACTCACGGGACAAGCCGCCCAGGACGCTCACAAGCGCAAGTACGTCACACTACCACGCACACACGCCTAACTCTTGATACATATGAACATACATATATATTATATGCATTTATACCTACACACATTTATGTATACACGTTACTTCTGCCTGTCCTTTTGTGTTTTTAATGACCGGAATGTACGTATGTATACACGTTACTTATACTGCACTTCTCTGCAGGGTACTGCGTGATTTAGAATTGGCTGTCAAGAAGACGGCGCAGGTGTCACTGCAGCTCATCTCCGCCGCTACCAATGCATCAGCCACCAACCGAAACGCAGCCTCACAGAAACAACTCATGGAACAGGTAAATATGTATATATATACATATATATATAGATAAAGATATAGATTTAGATATGGACAATACTTAATCGTTTTCTCGACTATACGTATCAGAGTCGTGTACTCAGATATACATATCAGAGTCGTGTACTCAGATATACCTAGTCGCGTATAATTCCACCACCAAGCGTCCATTATATATGGTGGACTGGTGCACCTACATAATATATATAAATGTATATATGCTTGTGACACTCCATGTACTTTCTTTCATCATCATATCAGGCGCGTACTGTGAGCGATGCTTTGTCGCATATGATTCCCATTACGAAGTGCTTCGCCAACGATCGCATGAACCCAGAGAACCAACTGGCACTCATCAACAACGGTGAAGGTCTGCTTGCGCCTGGTAGCAAGCTTGTGGCTACGGCTAAGGTAAGAAGGACGGTAGTTTATGACATGTATACGCAGATACATAGTTTTATTTATGTACGTGGTTCTAGTACATAGTTTTATTTCTGGGTGGAACCGTCCTGGTTCCACAGTTAATCTTTAGTCGCAAAGGTGAGCGCAATCTCAGCGCATACTAACACGTACGTGTTTGTTGAATAGCCTACCTACCATTTGGGTTTTACATGTTTCGTATTACTTAATCATCAATCTGTTTATATCTACCACTCATATATACCTACCATTTCTATTTATAAACATCTTACTCATCCATCTACCTCTACCTACCATTCTATTATAACCAGGTGGCCACTGCCACGGTTGGTGACATAGCTGCCAGCAAACAGCTCAACAACTACTCTCGTGCAGCGGCTGTTGCACTGACTGAACTCAGAGACGCCCACGCTGCTGCTTCAGAGGCCTGTGGTGAACTCGAAGTAGCTGCTGCTATTCAGACTATTGAAGGTGAGTGGATGTGTATATATGTATGTATGTGTGTATGTATATGTGTATATGATTTTGATATGTATGTATGTGTGTGTGTATGAATGTTTATATATATATATAGCTGTATCTCTATGTAGATATGTGGGCATGTATGGACGCGTATGAGTATATGTTGTGACGAACATGTATGTCATAGCTACAATATATTCTTGCTGAAATGGTCGTTCAATTATTGAATCACGACACACGTAAATACTTTAGCATTATCCGTAGCTCAGTTATTCATAGTGTTTGCAAATGACAGCTGGTGATTGGCTGCGTTAATGCAGATAGTGATCCGAGAGTACATCCTTCCCCTCTCTCTCTCTC